TCCGCGCTGGAATGGTTGTCGGTCCAAATGCGAAGGTCTTCGATGGTAGTCGGGGCTGACGCATTTACGTTGCGGCGAAAAGCGTCCAAATTCGTGTCCAGGACTTTGTGGTTTGCAGGGGCCGAGATTCCGTCGACCGGCACGAAGATCTCGAGCACGTAGTGGTCGCTGCCCTGGGATCCATTTGTTCGTCCACGACACTTCAACGATCTTCCTCGTCATGGAGAAGTCCGGCGATGTATTTCTGAAGACGCTGTTCCCAATGCGGGTTGGATAGCTGAAATCGTTCAAGGTGGTGTAGTTGTGCCTGTCTACACACTCCTGGATAGACACGGCCTTAGGTAGGGTGTGTATAGGTGCCCCCATTCGACGTGGTTGGCATTTAAGTCGCCCTCGACAAGCAGGGGGGTGTCTTTGGCGACGCGGAGGACTTCCACGAGGGTCTTTGCTGTGGCCTTCGACTGATCCCTAGGGGGGTTGTAAACATTCAGTAGAAAGACGCGGCGCTGTTCCTTGCGTCTGGGCAGTAGTTCGACCAGGATGTGAGGCAGGTTGTCAATTACGGGTTCGTGTTGGATCGGGGGTATGCCTCTTCGGACGAAAGTGTGACCAGGTTTCGATGCGCGTGGCCCTCTCGCTGCTGCCTGGACGGGGACCTCGAAGCGAACGTAACCCGACACATTGATGCCATTGTGCGGTTCTGGGAAGACGGGAACATCAGGCATGTACTCGGCGTTCGGAATGTGGAGGTGCAGGTTTCTCCTCTTGCGGCTGAGACTCCTGCAGTTCCACTGCCGCACTTGCAGGTGTTGCTGCTGCCGCTGCCGCCGTCTAGCCATGTTGGAGCTGGAGTTTGCATAGCTGTTCGTGGATAAGCGGGAGTGCTTGCAGGATCTGTGGTATCTGCTGTTGCGTTTGAAGCATCTGCTGCTGCATCTGCTGCTAGGTGTGCCGGATATCCTCAATTGCCTGTTCGAGAGTGATGTGCCGGGATCCCAGGCGTTGTGTGAATGCTTTCTTTCGAGCTTCCAGTCGATGCTTGAGGGCGAGGACAGTCGCAGAGTTTACCACGCTGCAGGTGTCATCGTGTATTTCGACGTCTCCCTCTCTGCTAGGGGAGGTGGTGCCGCCTTGGTAGCCTGGCGCTTGAGAGGTTTATTTTCCGCCACCGGCACCGGTTGCGAAAGTGGTTCCGGTACTGCAGTGAAACCCGTTTAGAACAAACTCCCGTACAGCGAATTATTGTGAATATCGAACTCACAAAAAATTTAAATAAAAATGCATGTAAAACTACTTTTTATAACGAACAACATATTGGTTATATCGAACTTTTTCCCCCAGCGAAGGCTTCCAAACACGCGCAAACAATCGTCTTCTAGCCTCTCCCTTCCCCCCAAAAAGAAGTAGGAAAGAAAGAAAATTCCAAAAGCTCTAGTTGCGGACACAAGTAAGCGAAGAGAAGCGATTCAGAAGGGGAGAAAGCTGGAAAAAATACACACTGCTTGCATGCGCAGAAAAAAAGAATCTCATCCCAAAGCGTTTGCCCACGAACAGAAGCGATTCAGAAGAGATCAGCTAAAAAAACAAAAACAAAAAGCTCTGCATGTATGAAAAAAAAAAGTTTTCCAGCGCGTTGTTACAAGGCGGAAGTGAAGATATGAGAAAGAAAGAAAAGGCTCTCGCCTTACAACGAACGCATCGTGGAAGTTCGCTGAAATTGTTATTGCTATATCGAACTTCTTGCTATACCTAACTGATCGTAGCGTTTCTTGCTGTTCGTTATAAACGGGTTTGACTGTACGTGGAAAGGTGAGGTTTGGGGGTTAAGCGGTGTATCCTGGATGTTGGTGGCGAGGGGCGCTAGGGGCGGAGGGCGCAGAAGCGTCTTCTGCGCTGAAGTTGTCGGTTTGGAGACGCACGCTCCCATTAGTTGTCGTTGAAGGTCGGAGATGTGCCGCCTAAGTTCCATGATTAGCGCGGACTCAGCATCGGCCGTAGCAGCAGACGCCCACGCCGTCCTGTCTTCCTTGGGCTTGCGATTTTTCGAGACACTTCGGTTTTTGTAAGCGCTTCGGCCTCTGACCTCCAGGGGAGGGAAAGAAACCTGTCGCGACAGTTATGGCCTGCTCATGTCGCACAGACGATGTCGACGAGGTGGAGATGCCTCTACAGCCCGCGATATTAAAGAATCAGTGCGAATCCAAACGCGGTCCGAGCTGGTTCTTTTCGTCTCAGCTCAAACAGATTTGGATTCGAACTGATTTTTTATTCTCGCGCGCTGCAGACACATCTACACCTCGTCGTCATCATATAAGCAGACCGTGAGTGTCGCAGCAGACCGAACGGCTGCGTGGTCGGGAACTTCGCTGTCCGCCACTGTTATCTCGTTAGCGGGACCTGCGGGACTGCCGTCGTTTCTTCTCAGGTTCCGTCGGCGCCGGTCCGCGACGAACATAGCAATGTGAGCATTCTTTGGAGGCCGTGATGTGTCTGTCTACCCCAGCTGATGGCGCACAGGGGCTGGCACTCGTAGTGCGAGCCATCTTCGTTTTGCGACAGGTGTTGGGCTCCGCAGCGGTGGCACCTGCTCTGGGGTGGCATATGGACACACGTCGGCCCGGTAACCCGTTCGTATACAGTTGACGCACGCCTCGATTCTATCTCTGTACAGGAAATAGAAGAGAGTGAACCCATTGAAGTAGAGCGATCCTCTTGCCTTGCATGGTAACCAGTAAACCTCGTGACTTGCCCATGCGTCGCGCTGCGAGCAGCTGCCATAACGGGTTCTGCTCTATACAGCTGAGCAGGTTTCTTCCACATCCTTGATTCCATCGAAGGAGAGGGCCTTCGGTACGACTATTCGTGTCAAGTCGCTTGGAGTGGCCATGTGAGCCGTTACCTCGTGCGTCTTACCACCGATCACCAGAGGGCGAATATGCAGATAGGCTAGCTGCCTGTCATCGTCCGGCGTGCTGACCATAATCGTGTTGCTGCGCGGGTTGATACGAAACTTACCGAGGGAGCAGACTTCGCGCGGCGAAAGACCAACACCTCCTAGACAGCAAAGCCTCCGCGTTTCATCACATAACGTCACGTCCGGGGCTCTGGCACGGGCGCTGATTGGATGCGAGCGCCACGTCAGCGTTCGCGTTGGGCTCGTTTCCTATCATAGTCTCACGCGAACGCTGACGAGGCACTCGCATCCAATCAGCACCCGTGCGGGACCCGCGGACATGACGTCAGCTGACGAAGCGCGCAGGCAATAAAGTAGTCTAGGAGGTGGTGGACAGGCCGAGCTGCGAAAGGACTGCTGATAAGACGTCGGCTGCCGAAACTTCAGAGAAGTCGAGTCCCTGGGGTCGGAACATGACTTAATACACAATGGGGAGAGGAGGAAGAGGGATCGTCCTCTTACCCTTGCGTCGCTTAGCTGCGGTGGGCCACTTCTTGACGGCGGGAGCCGAGGCAGCGTCGCCATCCTGTTTCTTCAGTACGGCGGCTTCGGTCTTCGCAGCCGGGGGCTGCCGTGGACTTTTTGACGGTGCGGTTAATATTATCGCGGACGATGGTCGTCCATTTATCTTCGGTACGCTGGCTCTTGGTGATCTCAGAGCTCGCAGTGTCTCTCATCGTAGCTGTACCCATGGAGGCACCCGGCGGAGAGGGAGCGCTCGCACGCCGCCGATGCTTCCCCGGCGACAAGTAGGCTTGGTTCTCTCCCGCAACGTGCGGGAGGAAGGCTTGAGCAAAACAGTCCAGAAAAAACGCCAACACCATGCACAAAAGGGTCCGCAGGGTACGGTTACCGTGCCGAAAAGACAGGTAGCAAAAAGGAGCTCGAAGAGATCGAAGAAAATGTCAGAAAGGGGCAAAAAGCGGGAGCTCCACGTGACGCGTCACTCCAATAGGCCACCCGTGCGCCACCCCATGATTTCTTAAAGACACTAGCCATCGTGAAGGGAAGGAATACCGCTGAAAAGCATAGACGGTTCAAAGATACGGGCACGTTGGCGTAAATGAATCTCCTGATAACAAAAAAAAAATTATAATGCATCGTAGAGGAGGAAGCTTGAAGGCGCTGCTAAAATAAAAAAAAAAAGCGCACACAAAAAGAGAAAAAAAAAACACGATTCCGACTATATGAGTTTGCGATCCGTAGAGTGAGACGCCCATAGCGGTGGCCCTACTACATCCCATTCCCCCTGTCCGGAGATTGGGAATGGCCTTCACGTGACTTGACGCGACTAGTTCAAACGGCTGCCGCCAGGATAGCGCCGCTCCGCGAAAACCGGGCGTTCGAGTGGCGGCGTTAAGTATGGGTCGCACTGCACTGGCAGTTTACAATACATGTCCCAGTGGGATGTATCTCTCGCGATCTACTGCAATATTTCTAGAGATACCCCACTCCCGAACGGTAACCCACCTCTTATCTTTTTAAAGATTTGCTGTTTAAAAAAAGAACACCGAAAGATAGCCCACTTTTAGAAATGCAGGGACCTGGCCAAAGGTGACCTTGGCAGAAATGCTGCTACTTAGCTATGTCAGAGAATCAGCGACCGTTGCTGACTGAGAAGAACTGTCGTCTTTGATTTTCTGCAGTCAGAAGTTTCGAAAGTCACACAATCTCAAACAGCAGATTTATCCAACTTTTTTTTTATCCTGCACCGAAAGTTAGCTTACTCCTTATTTTCCCCGACTTGCTTTCGATTTTAAGTGGACTATCTTTCGAGATATTACGGTAGAGAGGTTTTATATTTGTTTCGAAGTTTCTGATTGTATATCATTGTATATCATGCAGCTAAGCCCTTAACTACTTGTTTGAAAACATCTGACTGCATAAAGTGTTATAATATTGCAATTATAGCATATCTGACCCTAGCAATCAAAAATTGTTGTTGCAAATGCGAAGAAAATCGTGCTCTTTTCCATTTTCAGCCGTGGGCTGCACTCTGCCGTACGCGTCTGCTATTGGTCGGAGAAACGGAATCCCTGAAGCAACCATGGCCTACATTTTAGCAGTCACACCTCTCCTCTCTATTCCGTGGAAGATTTTGATGGGATACATTGCTGACCGTACGCAAAGCATAACTAAAATCTTGCTGACTCTTCAATTGGTTGCAGTTCTATTCTACGGCTTTCTCTACTTCAGTGATTTTATGATCAAAACGGCCGAACCAAACGGGGAGGTATCATGCCCAGAAAGAAACGTAACGATTTTCAACTCAATCTCTGTGTGCGTCCAACCGCCGGAGAAGTGTTTCGTCTCGTGTCCAACGTATACCACCGAATTCACCGAGATCGATGTAAGCTACATTTTTCAGAACGCTTCCACCATTTGCCACACTCTCTGGAATGGCACATCTGGTTACCACAGCAGCGCCTGTCAGTTCAAGTGCTCTTGCCAAGCAGGTTTGACAGATCAACGAGTTGTGTGGTTCTATGCCGTGTTTCATGCCCTCGCGTCGTTGTGTTTGGGGGCTGTGGTTGTTATATCTGACGCCGGCGTTTCAGAGATACTGGGTGAAAATGTGAGGGACTTCGGATGGCAGCGAATGGGAGGGGCAATCGGTATGGGTGCCGCTGGTCCTATCGTGGGAGCATTAATTGATGCAGCCAACCGATGGACGGGTGGACGATCAGGCTACCTTCCGAGCTACTTCGTCTATGCACTGGTCATTATTATGGATAGTGTCCTCCTCTGTTGCATGCCCACTCTTCGGATGCCCAAGCTATCGGTCAACTTTTTCAAGGACATCTCTGCTGCGTTCATCAATGTCGAAATGGCCGTATTCGCCTTCTGGACATGCGCCTTCGGGGCCTGTATTTCAATCGCCATGTCGTACAACACGTGGTTTTTGGAGGACATAGGAGCCTCTAAACTGATAATTGGATTAATATCAGCAGTCAGTTGCATTTGCGTAGAACTGCCCTTCTTTTCCGCGTCCGCTTGGATTCTGAAACAAACGCGGTATTATCCCTCGTATATATTGACGTTCTTGATCTTCGGTGTGAGGTACATTGGCACTGCCTTTCTCTACAACCCGTGGTTCGCGCTACTCGTCGAACCCGTCATCGGGGCTGCAGTTCCACTCGGGGTACCCGCCATGACTGTGTTCGCTAAAGAGGTGGCGCCGGAAGGTACCGCGGCATCCGTCTTGTGCATCCTCAACATTTGCTACGAAGCCATTGGTAAGTTTAATGCCCACTCAGGTAAGCCATAGTCTGTAATACCTTAAGGAGCAAAGTGTGCTTTCCAGTCAATAAGATTGCTGCATTAGCAGACAAGGATGACGAAGGACCAATCCCAAAGCCAGTAGCGTGAACATAATGGACTTGACCCTACAACATAATAGGCTCCACCAGGCGCGAGTGCCTCACAAAGGCCTCTTTCCATATTGATGTGCATCGTTAAAACGAAGACAAAACTCGAAACAACGCAATCATTCGTTTAATGGCCAAACATGTTTATATATGTATGCTAGCATTGGCTTCTTACATCCCTTCATTGCCTGGAAAAATGTTGGCAAAAGAATGAGCCGCCGCCTTCGTCAGAACTGCAACCATTTCGGCGCGTCACTGAAACAAGGTCTTTGGTAGCTGGCACTGTTGTACCCACTGTACACACACGGTAGTGGCTGCAAAGAATCCCCTGTACTCTCTGTCGTAATTGCAACGTTCTTTCCTTTCTGCTTTACAATGTTATGCAATTGCACTGAAAACAGACGTATCTTATGAGTCGACGCCGTAGCACTCCCCCCCTCCTCTCTGCCCCACCCGCCAAAGAAATACAATAAAGTAAAGCCTTTCTTGAAACGCATATTGCACACATTTCAGTAGCACGTATGTTCATTCAGCATATCTTCACCGCGAGATCACGGAAACCATGTCGAATCGGGAAGACAAAATGCGCCAAAGTAGGCGATGCAAACCCTGTCTAGGGTATTATTTTTAATGCGATTGAATGCAAAGGTGCAAGCGAGCTGGACAAGAACGGCGAAACTCATTTCTGGAGAAGGGGAACAAGAGGGACAAAGGACAAACACAAATCTCTAAACAGAGCCAGGTGACGGGTGCGCGACCGACAAAATGCGCCTGGTCCGGGTATTGAACCTGGGACATCTCCATTTCCAGTGGAGCGCTCTACCAACTGAGCTAAAAAGGAGTACGTCAGTAGAGCAAACAGGTCTTATCAGCCGCCAAAAGTCTAACACAAAAAAGGGTGAAAGCCTTACAATTTTTAAGGTTATTTTTAAATGGAATTAAATGCAAAGCTGGAAGCGAGCTGGGCAAGAATGACAAAAATAATCCCCGGAGAAGGAGAACAAGAGGGACAAAGAACAAACACAAATCTCTAAACACAGCTAGGTGACTGGTGCGCGACCATCTAGTCTAGTGTCCTGGATTTGAGAGTGTTCCCAACTGCTCGAGCAGAGTCACGTCATTTCCGTCTGCTTTCCACTCGACCACAACAACGCAAGGCGTGCTCACCTTCGAGGCATCTGCCCAGTAGGCGTCCGCAATTTAGGTGCTAACGTTCTCCGTGTTTTGAGTTGTTCCCTTAGATGATCTAGGCAGACCCTCTTAACACAACGCCCTCACGCGGTCGCCACGAGCGGTTGCTCAACAGCGTCGGCAGGCCGTTCGGCCAAGCGCTGGAAGTATATAGGAGGCACTGATACATGCAAGAAGCGAAAGTGTGCAGGAGAGCAGGTTAGAATACGTCAGAACGGATGAGTTGGATGCAGCTTCGTTTCACCTCATTATCGTGCTCCCTCAGGCGAAGAAGACGCTTAGCTGCATCTTCTTCGTTACAATATTTTCCCTTTTAACTGACCTTTTCCTTTCTTTTTAAAGGTAAACAATATTCAGAATGTGTTTTTTTCATGAAATTGCCTTCGCAGGTAATTTTCGGGGTTTATATGCGTTCACCAAAAACACAGTATCCTATTTACGTCGCAAAGTGACTTTCTTCTTTTCTTTTTTTTTTACTAACAATATGCCCCTTAAATTCAGTGAAAATGTTCTTGTTCCAGGGATGTCGCTTGGTAACTTCGTCGGTGGGATGACATTCGCCGAATTTGGAGGCCGGTGGATGTTTTTCTACTTCGGTGTGTTCGCGGCGGGATGCGCTCTCCTGTGCCTCGTATCACACGTACTTGTGCATTGGAGGACTTCGAGGCATGGAGTCATAACGCGTAAGTTGACTGCAGTTGTCCTCTCACAGGGATCAACTTTGCTTACTCAACTTAACTCGTGTTTGCCTACTTATCTTCCTTATTTGCAATATTTCCGTGGTCAATTCCAACCAGTACCGATGCAAATCAATGGCGTCTTCAGGTTTTCTTCGATGTATGCAATTACGAGCAGAGATCATTCACCTTATTTAAAAAGAAAAAATTCATATATATGATTCGTTGTAATTGCCTGAAGCTGAGCAGGTTGGTTATTCATACATGTAAGATATGCCAGCTGAACGAAGGAAGAAATAGCGAGACAGTGAGAGTCACAAGCAAAAAACAAACACACTCCGCTGGACTAACAACCATTTACTGAATAACATCTTTTTCTTCGTCGACTTTCATTTAATGGAGAACTTTTTTTCCTTCGTCCATTTTAATTATTGCCTAGAAGAAATATTTGTCCCTCGTCTTCATCACAACAGTTAGAAAAACCTTGCACCCCCAGAGATAACGTCTCCTGTGGGCTCATGCCAGCTATTTTATATAGGGGGTGTTTCCTGCAAATGCTTCTTTTCTTTTGTATGTAGCACAATGAAGGCAGTGCTTACGCAATGTTCCTTCTTCTCCTCAGTGGCTAGGGTCTCTAGAATTTACTTGCGATCTGTTTTTTTGTGTCTAGCCATGACGGTGATGTTTGAGAAACAGGGAGCACATTGACATTCGCGACAATGCGCTAAAAGATGGTCCGCTGCTGCAATTATGCGCACAGAGGCGGCGTGTTCTCTCGTGCGGTCATTGACACAGCGCCCACTTTGTCCGATGTAACATTTCGCGCATGACAGCGGAATATTGCAAACCACAGCGCTTTCACATGGGGCGTATTGAGTCCTGTGTGCGGTGCCACACGTGTTCCTTTCGTTGTTGTCGGCCTCACCGTTAACCTTGCTGCACATATATGCCTTGTTGGGAGCTGAGAAAACGACTTGTATTCCATGTCGGCCAGCGATCTTTTTCTGGCCTTGTGCAACCCCGTGGATATATGGCAACACAACTAGAGGTGCTAGAGGTTTAGGAGGCTTCTTTTTTGGTGCTTATGCAGTCTCCCTTAGTTTGCGTCGTACTTGCTTGCAAATGCTTTCACAAACAGGTACGAGTAGTGTGCTCGTGTATCCGCAGTCTTGAAGCCTAGAGATCTGTGTTTAGAAACGGCGCTTGAGCCTACGGTGGCAAGATTTCTGTAGTGCCGCGACGAGGGCTGTAGTAGCGGATCCTCATTTAACAGTTTTTGAATGTTCGGGAGCACTCGGAAGAAATCCTTTACAGGATCTAGCTTGATACATCCAGCATACGTGTGTGCTGTGAACTTCAAAGAAAGATCGAGAAACCGAATACACCGGTTTACAGGACGTTCATGGGTGAAGGAAAGTCGAGGGCAGCTTTAGTCAAAACTGCGCATGGCTACTTCTAAACACCCATCACTCCGCTCGTCGACTTCAGAGTTGCTCAGTACAAGAAAGTCATCTACGTATCGGAAGATTCGTATTCAGTTCCTCGATCTTTCCTTGAAGTTCAGAAGCACACATGTATGCTGGATGTATCAAACTAGATCCTGTAAAGGATTTCTTCCGAGTGCTCCCGAACATTCAAAAACTGTTAAATGAGGATCCGCTACTACAGCTCTCGTCGCGGCACTACAGAAATCTTGCCACCGTAGGCTCAAGCGCCGTTTCTAAACACAGATCTCTAGGCTTCAAGACTGCGGATACACGAGCACACTCCTTGTACATGTTTGTGAAAGCATTTGCAAGCAAGTACGACGCAAATCACGGGAGACTGCACAACCACCAAAAAAATATACCTCCTAAACCTCTAGTTGTGTTGACATATGTCCACGGGGTTACACATCGCCTGAAAAAGATCGCTGGCCGACATGGAATACAAGTCGCTTTCTCAGCTCCCAATAAGGCATATGCCATATGTCGCAAGGTTAACAGTGAGGACGACAACAACGAAAAGAACACGTGTGGCACCGCACACAGGACTGAATACGCCCCATGGGAAAGCGCTGTTGTTTACAATATTTCGCTGTTATGTGGGAAATGTTACATCGGACAAACTGGGCGCTGTGGCAATGACCGCACGTGAGAACACGCCGCCTCCGTGAGCATAACTGCAGCAGCGGGCCACCTTTCAGCGCATTGTCGCGAATGCCAATGTGCTCCCTGTTTCTCAAACATCACCATCATGGCTAGACACAAAAAAACAGATCGCAATGAAAATTCTAGAGTCCCTATCCATTGAGGAGAAGAAGGACGATTGCGTAAGCACTGCCTCCATTGTAGTACATGCAAAAGAAAAGAAGTATTTGCAGGAAACACCCCCTTTTTAAAATAGCCGGCATGAGCCCACAGGAGACGTTATCTCTGGGGATGCAAGGTTTTTCTAACTGTTGTGATGAAGACGAGGGACAAATATTTTATCTAGGCAATAATTGAAGTCGACGAAGGAAAAGAAGTTTTCCATTAAATGAAAGTTGACGAGGAAAAATATGTCATTCAGTAAATGGTTGTTAGTCCAGCGGAGTGCGTGTGTTTTTCCCTCGTGACTCTCTCTGTCTTACTATTTCTTCCTTCGTTCAGCTGGCATATCCTACATATATGATTCGTCCAATCAACATATGATAACTTATATAATTCATCTAAGACGTGTTAACGCTTTCGTAAGGCATATATAAGTGTTTATATTCTCCTATATTTGTCACACGTTTTTTAAGGTAAGCATATTGTGATACATTTCTTTTGTGAGACATTGTAGAAGTAAACGCTTTTCACAACAAAAAAAAAATGAAGAAAATATGCCAGCGACTTACATCCCCAAATTTCCATAATGCGTTATATTTAGAACTAGTTATGGACAATACGATACGTCATACACCCTTCTCATTACACTGAATCAGTTCAGAGTGGGAAATATAGAGCTGAACTAAGTGTCGATGAGCAGCCAACGGGA